CACAGAGACACGAAGATGATTAAGGGCCTGGAGCATCTATTGTATGAGGAAAGACTAAGCGAGCTGGGCCTGTTTAGCCTGGAGAAGAGAAGACTGAGCAGGGATCTAATCAATATGTATAAGTACGTGACGGGAGAACGTAGGGAGGATGAGGCCAAACTCTTCTCCGTGGTGGCCGGTGATAGGACAAGGGGTAATGGGTACAAGTTGAAACACAGGCAGTTCCATCTCCGTGTGAGGAAGAACTTCTTTCCTGTGAGGGTGCCAGAGCCCTGGAACAGGCTGCCCAGAGAGGTTGTGGAGTCTCCTTCTCTGGAGATCTTCCAAACCCACCTGGATGCCACCCTGTGCCATGTGCTCTGGGTGTCCCTGCGTGTGCAGGGGGATTGGACTGGATGATCTCTAGAGGTCCCTTCCAACCTTAACCACTCTGTGATTCTGTATTGGTATAACTTTACAGAAATTAGTATTGCAGGATAACTTTTTAAGAGAATGAAATGTTACTTGTGATTGGGTGTTTAGGGTGTTTTGTTTTTGCATATTTGTTGCTTACTATTCAAAGAAGATTTCTTAATAAGAATTTTAACTTGCACTAGTACATTCCTCTGCTTTGTTGTAATTATTTATTTTGTGGAATCTTCTCAATTTGTGTTTTTTCCCCTTTTGTGGGGAGTCTCTTTGGCTTGTGAATTGTAAAGGGTTCATCTTTCTAGGAAGAGAATGTTGTGTTTAATTGAAACAGATTTGTGGATTGTTGGACGTGGGGACCAGCAGTTGAATTTGTTTGAAAGTGTATGTGGTATTTGGGAAGATTGTAGCTATACGCTGGTATGTGTTGCTCAGAGACATCTTTTTGGTTTGTTTTGATTAAAACCAGTGAGCAGGGGGAATCTGAACCATAAGCTAAATCTGTGAATGGAAAGCTTAAGACACTCTTAGAGGAGGAATTGCTGTATAAATATCTTTGTCATTCCCTCAGACTGTCTGTGTAGAGAAGAATGAGACACTCGGTGGAACCTGTTTGAACGTTGGGTGTATTCCTTCCAAGGTAAGTGTACCCAGTTGCCATAATGTTGTTAAAACACTAGTTATGTCCATCGCTTGAAAAACCTCAGGCTTTTTCCAAGGTATTCTTTCCTACTAAGATAAGAATTAAAAAGGTAGCACTCCCCAAAATGAAGTGGGGGAGTGGAAAGAGAGAAAAACAGCATTACAGGTGCCTTTATCTTGCAGTTTGGCTATCCTTTCAAAACCCAGTAGGGAGGGCTCTGTGTAAACGGTTCCTCTGCCAGATTGTCAACCTCCTGTCAAGTGTGGTGCTTTTTCCAAAATCTTATCCTTGCTGTTGGTTTCACTGCAAAGTGCATGCAAAAATAACTGTCTAATAGTTATTTTCGTGCTTTGTTCACTGCCCTAGACTTCTGCATTGCTGTCATGTAATACTTGCAGATTCAGATCTGGGTTATCTCAATGAAAAAACTGAACTCTTGTGTATTTTCTTGAGCTCTGGTGTGTCTGTTAGGAAAGGTTTCATTGCCAACATCGGAGAAAATACAGTATCAATACAAAATTAAAACAAGAAATGTATTACTTGGCCTGAAGACATGAGTAATATCTAATTAATCTCAGGATATCTTTCCATAATGAGGAAAAAAACCCCAAATTAGTATAGACACAGCACATTGTAACTTGAAAATTTGGAACTTTGTTGGGATTTACTTAAGTAGCTTTTCCTTTTCAAGAAAAACTTTGGGTTTTTTTGTTAATCCTGTGAAGTTTCATAGGAAAATGCTTTTGAACCTATGGTGAGACTTGGATTTATTTTAATATGGTTATTCTGGTTAATAAATTAACAAGAATTTATTTTGAAATGGCAATAAACTTGAGATGGGTGTTCAGATTGCATGTGCAAGCATAGTATAAAATTATTCCTTCGTCCCTTTACAAAATGCCACTTGAGTGGCATCAAGCTGGTGAGATCCTCAGGAATGATTTTTTTTTTTCTTTTGTAATTGCTCAAATCTTAAGCTGTGGTCATGCATTTACATGTTTTGGTGGTTTTTCAAAATTGTGGCAAATATGTAAGGTGGGCAAATGAATTTTGAGTGGGACTATATTTTTGTGAATAAACTTAACAAATCCGACAATATTAGTTTTAGTCGTATGTATATAGAAGGCAGCTCAAATGCTCAAAAAATGCTCCAAAATCTCAGTGTTCAAAATGCTGTTTGTACTTATTATTGTGTATACTTTATATTTAAGTATGTGCAGACCCTTACTGTTTTACTTCTTGGAAGTGCAATGAAGGACAAAACACAGTTTTGCTTTTCCTGCTAATGGTTTATAAGCATTTTTGCCAAAGGGCTCTTCTGGTTTTATTTTTCAATTGTGAATGTCCAATGATCTGCATTAGCTCTGAGCTATCAAGCTCCAGTTTAACTAATTCTGCAGTTTGAAGCAACTTTAGCTCAGTATCTAACCTATAAAAAACTAACTGAAATATCTACACTAAAATTTCAGGAGATTTCAGTATAGCTTTTCCCTATCCATTTTTTCCTGCATCTTCTTGTTCTTTTTGCTGACAGTCTCTTGTCTGGGGTAATTTAGAAATTTTCCTGCAAGTCTTCTGTGAGTCAGTCACTTTTCTCTGCTGAATATTTTCTTTTTTTTTCTTTTCTTTTTTTTTTTTTTTTTTATGTGTGTGTGAGGATTTTCTGGCGAAATGATTGGAAAAGGATATATGAGAATGTAACTGTGCTCTCTGCTCTCTGTTAAATGTATTACTTTTTATATAAAACACTTTAAATATGTACAGTTGTGGTTGAAATGTACTTTAGAATATGTCTGCCAAACTTTCTTAATAGGGATAATACTTTGCAAAACCCTTTTTCTTTATAAATGCTAGTGATAATTTCAATCCCAAATGCATGTCTGAATTCACATTTTGTTTTCTTTGTATTTTAGGCCTTGCTGAACAACTCACACCTGTATCATTTGGCCCATGGAAAAGATTTTGCTAGTAGAGGAATTGAAAGTAAGTGTGTAACGAACTGTCAGTAGTTGTTTAATGTCAATGGTCTCTAGCAACAAATATTATAGTTCTAATATGACTATTCTCCTTCTAGAAAAGTGAGAAAATCTCAGACATGCAAATAATATCCTTTGTCTGTCAGCTGGAAGCCTAGGGACATGTATGTTCTCCTTGAATCCAAGAAGGATAAGGGATATTGGAAAAATGTATACTGCTTTTTAATGTATCAGTTGTTGAACGTTACCATTAGCATTTAATTTTGTGTTGTGTTGCTGTGTCCTGTAGGTAAAAACACTGAAATGCTTGAGAGAAAGATATATATATATGTGTGTGTGTGTGTATCTATACGTATATATATATATGTGTATGTATATATATTTTCCTTTTTCTTAACCTTAGTTACAGGAATACATTTGAACCTAGAGAAGATGATGGAACAGAAGAGTGGTGCAGTGAAGGCCCTAACAGGTGGAATTGCTCATTTATTTAAACAAAACAAGGTTAGTTTGGATTGCATGCTGAGCTGTATCTGACTCTCTTTTCTGATCCAAGTTTCATGCTTCACACACTGTCACATTCTTGTTACATAAATTTGAGTGACTGATTCAGCAAGGGCAGAGTCTGACTGCTTTGCTTCTAGGGTATGTTAAATGAACAGTTCAGTTTGTTCTTAAATCTACTTTAAAAAGAAAACAGTATCAAATTATTTTGTAATTTGTACAGGATGCAAAAGTGCAACAGTGATGCAAAAGTTCAACAGTTATGCAAAAGTTAGTGTTAGCAGAAAATGAGCTACTGCAGAGAAGTGGGATTAGTGAGATTCAGATTAAATAGAATACCTTGAAAATGAGTCTAAATGTACTGTGTCTTGATTAATAAGGTTGTACATGTTTCCGGGTTTGGAAAAATAACTGGCAAAAACCAAGTCACTGCAACCAAAGAAGATGGCAGCACGCAAGTTATCAATACAAAGAACATTCTTATAGCTACAGGCTCCGAAGTGGCTCCATTTCCTGGAATTACAGTACGTATTGGGAATCTTGGTGATACTGTTTTTCAGCTTGTTTTTGACATGTAATAATGTTGTGCACCTGACTATCTTTGATCTGTGAGTTTTATATGCAGTGTGTAGAAGAGATTGTAATGTCCTTCTGTGGATTTCTTTGTCACTAGATTGATGAAGATAATATTGTGTCATCCACTGGTGCCCTATCACTAAAAAAAGTTCCTGAAAAGATGGTTGTTATTGGTGCAGGAGTCATTGGCGTGGAACTGGTGAGAAAATTCTTAAACATTTGGTCTCTTATTTATAAAGAAATGGGACTTTAAATAAATAAATAAAATTAGCAGTTAATGAAAAGCTGGCTGGGGGATTTTGATTTTGTAATGAAAATGCTTAGATGCAGCCTGCTGGCTACCTTTTCCACTTCAAAATGTGGGATAAGTGTTGTAGATTAAGTATGGTTAGCCAAGTAGAGAAATATGGGAGAAACATAGAGAATGAGGCCATCCCATACTGGTTTTGGGGTGTTGACTTTTACTGAGTTTCCTTATCTGTTGTGATGTGCGTACAAGAAGGTATGGTGGTTTTTTTTTTTTCTTTCATAAAGTTCATTTTAAGCCATCTTCAGTTATTGTGTATACACTCATTATATCTAATAACCAAATGAGTGGAGACTTCGTAGTTTGTTTTGGTCTGACTCCTTTTGCCTCATACTTCCCTGATTGAAGAGCAGTGTATATTTGTTGCTCTTGCAAGTGCTTGAAAATCTGCTTAGTGGTTGCTCAGCCTGTTGGCTATAAAGGAGGGGAAAAAGGAAGCAGGGAAATACTGTTGGGTGGATATGGGTAACTGGGTAACTTGAGGTAAGTGGGATGTGTAGGGTTATTGTTTCTGAAGCTGATGTTACTGGGTGTATTTATAGGGGTGTACAGAAGTAGCAGTAGTTACATATTTATTTTATTGCATAAATAATTTCCCGAGCATGCACTGTTTTATTTAGCTTGCAGTAATATTAGACTTCCCCAAACTTCCTTTGAGTTTTTACTTTTTCTTTTTTAAAAGTACCTATTTTATATTCAACTATTTTGTTAGCTGCAAAAGGATAATGAGAAGGAACATTTTATGGCTACATTGCAGTATTTGTAAAGCAGAATTCTTCTGTAGAGTTTTCCATCTAAGTGGTAGATGTTATAATAGAGAAACCTCAAGTTTTCCTTTCAAAAACTCATTCTTGAAGTTGATGCTGTGACTGCAGGGTTCGGTTTGGCAGCGCCTGGGTGCGGATGTGACGGCTGTTGAGTTCTTGGGCCACGTTGGTGGAATGGGAATCGACATGGAGATCTCTAAAAACTTCCAACGTATTCTTCAAAAGCAGGGATTTAAATTTAAACTAAACACCAAAGTTACTGGTGCTACCAAGAAGCCAGATGGAAAAATTGATGTAGCGTAAGTGATCTGCTTCAAACTAAAGGAATGCTAGATATTCTTCACCCATCCCTCGAAACCTATTTAATAGTAGCAATGTATGTCTTCAGGTGTGTCCCTGTCTCCAAATAAGCGTCACGGGGTTTTGACTAGTTCAGAGCAACTTTTCTGGAGTGTCTTTTAATGTAGAAACTTGAACCTCTGGAGACTTGCATGTGAAAAGCTAATATAGAAACATACAAAGTGTATTTGACTTGCAAGTCCCTACCTATACACTGCTCTGTTCTTGCATAGTTTACTACTGTTCTTCTGCCTGTTGATGTATTCTCTGTGCAAGTTGGAAACCTAAAGAGTACCTGGAATTTTGACAAGATGTTTAATGCTGCTGATGTTAACAGTGAATTTACGTTTGTTATTTCACTGGGACCTTAACATGGGCAGTGTTAGCTTCTCTATCTCCGTTCCTCAGGATATTCTGTTCTTCACTGCTGTGAAGGCCATAGATTTGGGCCTCATGTAACCTGTGTCCATGTTTAGTATTTCACCTGGGTTTGGGAAGCAAGTTTTGAAGTTATCCTCACTTAGCAAGTTTTTTGAAGCCAGTTGCCTAGTCATCCTCACTAAGCTTGCTGCCATTCACTCCTGTGCTCCCAGACCACATGGACCTGAGTTTGCAAAAACAGAGCTACTAACAAACATAGGAGCAGTTATTGTCCCTTCCTCCCTCTTCCACACTTGAACTCCTGCAAGAAGTAGGAAGGATATTGGGGGAGGGAGCAGCCTGAATGTAAGTGTTCAGGGTGCCAGATTCAGACATCACCATCTGGATCACATAAATTGCTTGTCAGAGAAGCCTAACTTGCAGGCTCACGTTTTTGTTACTTCCTTCTCTGCAGTGTTGAAGCTGCTGCTGGTGGCAAGGCAGAAGTTTTAACTTGTGATGTGCTCCTAGTCTGCATCGGTAGGCGTCCGTTCACAAAAAATCTAGGTCTCGAAGATATTGGAATTGAACTTGATAAGAAGGGCAGAATTCCGGTCAATAACAGATTCCAAACCAAAATTCCAAAGTAAGCGACATTAAATATAATTTTCTGTTTTTTTTAAGTAAACTTTTAAAATTTTCAAAAATATTTTTTGTTTTTAATTACTGATTAGTTTCCTGTAGGAAGGAGGAGCTCAGAGCATCTGTTTGTTTCAGCATATAAAGATACTTAGTCAATTTTGAGACTTTTGTGATTTAAAAGTTACTGTGCATGTCTTCTGTTAGTGGTGCTTTCTGAATGTGGTCACTTGGTGAAGCAGTCCCTTTATGCTCTTCGGAAATTTCTGAAATGTATTCTTCTGTATTTCCTGTGCAATTTATTACTTTCATGTGACCAGTTTTTGCTTTAAGTGGTACGTTTAGCCCAGCCTTTACGCGGAAGGCTGACTGGTGCTGCTAGGACGCCTTTAAACGCTGCTTTGTTCTGTCCTTGTTCTGACAGCATCTATGCTATTGGGGACGTAGTGGCCGGGCCCATGTTGGCGCACAAGGCCGAGGACGAAGGCATCCTGTGCGTCGAGGGCATGGCTGGCGGAGCCGTTCACATCGACTACAACTGCGTCCCCTCCGTCATATACACCCACCCCGAGGTGGCCTGGGTCGGCAAGTCCGAGGAGCAGCTGAAAGAGGAGGTGCTGCCCTTCTGTCCTGCTCACATGAAACTGCTTTGTCATCGACAACGTAGTTCAGTAGTCAAGTAGTGGTTCTTTGTCTGTCTTAACGTTTCCTAAGAGAATTTCTCAGTCTGAATTTGTTATGTAGGGTATATGACTGAATAGTTCTTAGCAGGAAAATCTCTCCTTCAGGCCACTCTCTCAAGAATGACAATCCTCTTTTAATGCTTTCTATTTTGTAAAGTTACAAATTGTGCATTTTTTTTCCAATTATTCATTTTTAGCTTTTTAGGTTTTTTTTTTTCATTAGTCTTTTTTTTTTTTTTTTTTTTTTTTTTTTTTTTTTTCTGTTTTTATGCTTACCCAACTGTCCACCTGGTTACATTATTCTTGTTGGTTCTTCAGGTTGTTAATTAACAGTATGTCAGTAACAGAGCTGTTTTGTAGGGGGTCGAATACAAAGTTGGGAAGTTTCCCTTTGCTGCCAACAGCAGAGCGAAGACGAACGCTGACACGGACGGCTTGGTGAAGATACTCAGTCAGAAATCAACAGACAGGATGCTGGGCGCTCACATCCTGGGCGCAGTGAGTATCGAGAACAGTGCCACTGCCTTGGCCGGGCTCTACGTAGTATTACACAGTTGAAAGATAGTTACCGTGTTAGCCAGAAAGAGGTTTGCAGAAAGAGGGAAGACTTCTTTCCTAAAGCCACTTCTCTGTGGCTGTTCTGCAGCCATCCTCTCCTCTCATTTCGTTTTAGTTTGCAGTTGGACTCAGCTGCGTTTTTGGCTCAGAAGCACTGAAATGCTTCAGGACCCTGAGTTGTCCTTTATGAATTCTGCCAAATACTCAAAAGAACAGCAGAAGGTTTTGACCCAATTCTGGAAGTTAAAGTGACTGAACAGACTGTGGCTTTTTAGATTTTTCTGAATTTTAGACTTCAGCAGAGTTGTGGGTACCTTATGCTGCAGTTACCAGATCTCGTATCAGTGGCCTATGGAATTTTGAAGAATCTCCTTGAAAAGCTTTGAAGCCAGAAAATTCTGTTTGGGAAGAGGATCATTTCCCTCTATCTGCATAAAGATGTACGCAGGAACACTCCATACCTCTTTGTATACAGTGTTTTTTTTTTTTTTTTTTTTTTCACAAAAGGCCAGACTGAGGCTTCTGTTTTGCTGAAAAGGAAACTTTGTTCCTGTAGTTGCGTTGTCAGCACTGGATCAGCACACTAATGCTCTTTAAAAATTATGATTTTGCTTTTGTTGTTGCTGTTTTGTTTTTGCTTTTTTTTTCTTCAGAAGTGATAATCCACAGTAGCTCTGATCACAATGTGGGCACTACCTGACTGGTATCTTGTTTAAAAATCAGGCCTTTTTTGCCACAACCTTCATTTAATGAGAGACCAGGTGTTCTGGCTTAGGATCTTTCATACACGTTCAGCTTGAGCACAGTCACCAAGCAGATGGAATACTTAAAACTGTCTCCTTTTCACCAAAAGATGTTTACAGACAAGCCAGATGCTAGCTAGGGATTCAGAAGAACCTGGATAACTGCTTAAAGATTTAAGCTGATCACAGATAATGTTGAATTTCAGGGTGCTGGCGAGATGGTTAATGAAGCAGCTCTTGCTATGGAGTATGGAGCATCGTGTGAGGATGTAGCCAGAGTTTGCCACGCGCATCCCGTAAGTTAAAGAACAAACTACTGAGCACCAGGGTTGCCTAGACTTGCTATGATTATGTGCAGAGTAAATATTAATGACTTCTGCCGTTTGTGTTGTCTCTCTACAGACAGTGTCAGAAGCCTTCAGGGAAGCCAACCTAGCAGCATCTTTTGGCAAAGCCATCAACTTCTAAAAGGGAAGAGCAGCTCTCGAACGTGTACAGTAAATGTCTGCACATGCACTGTGGGCTTTTGTGGAAGGCTGAGTCGGAGATTTTAGGACTGAATTAAGTGAATCTCTTCATTTTAAGCATCAAATATTTAACCAAATAGGGTTTGGAAAAAGTTGAATTATCCAGTCTCTGTAAATTAAATATTTAAAATTACATGTTTATTTACTTGATGAATGTTGCAGAAAAAATGCCTGAAAGAACTGTTTTCTTTTTATGAAACCAAACATTTTGGGTGTGCTGGGTCAAGGCTCTTAAGAGCCCAGCGTATCTGGCGTGTCATTATTTGAAGTAGTGATAGACTAAACCAGTTCAATGCTGGCACTTAAAATGCCACTGTCACTTCCGCACAAATACATTGTGGTGTTTCCTTGTGAAAGGATTAACTTAGTATTTACAGAGTCGTTTTGACCTACTAGCATGAGGATTATGGGAGGGGCTCATTTAGGTGGATTAAAACTATATTAACTTTTTTAAAAGTGACAATTATTCCATTTGTGTGTGATTCTCCGCACATCATGTTTTCATATTGAAAACTCACTGGGGGGAAAAATCAAGTGCTGATGGAGAAATGAAAAACTGAAGAAAATTTAATCTTATTGCTACTTAATTCTTTTTGATTTTGAAGCTTTTCCCAATGTCCACCTATCCTAAGGTACCTTGAAAAGCTAAAACTGGGTGTTGAAGCAGCACTGTTAAGTCCAGGGGCATGAGGGTTACTCCACTTTCTGCATGTCAGGGCTGCAGTGTCAGCTCTCCACAGTTTAGACTTTTCCCTTCTTTCCTATTTTTTATTTTATGCTCTCTTTGCTTCTCTTCTGTAGTAAGAGAGCTTAATATGTGAAAGGTCTGTTGCCTTCCACTAATAAATATTTAACATGGCTGGAGACTCGTGGTTT